ATTTTGCTCAAAAAGTGCTCAGCACCATTCGTGGCATTTTTTAATATTTTTTTACGTATTTTTAAAGGTAAAAATTTAAAAGTTTGAGCGATATTCGATATTAATTTATGTAATTTATGTCCTTTCTTTTTTAATTGTTAAGACGAACATGTTCTTTTTAAAATCTTGCGTGACATTTTTATCACTCGTGAATGTAATAAAAAAATAATAATTATTTATTTCTATAATTAATTATTAGAATCTTTTCTTTTTTCTTTCTTTTTTTTTTCAATTAATCAAAGGCTAAATCATCAAGGAGAGAAAGTTATTTATTCTATTGGATTTCGTTCTTTGTGTTTTAGTGTTAAATAAACGAAAAGCTTGATTAAAGCGGTGATTGAAATAACGATACGCAGTTCGTGAAAAAATATTGCAACTTGAGATTGTAAAATGGAAAATGCATGTGGGGAATGTGAAATTAGTTGGATATAAATTATATGCAAAAAAAAAAAAAAAGTAATTCAAACCTTTGTTTATTTTAAAGGAGAAAAAAATAAAATGGTAAATTGAACGTACGGTTAATAACTTCATTGTTACACGCGTGGAAACAGTTAGACGTGAGCACGAAAATGTTGGTTATGAAATATAATGTTTATTTTTTTCCGAATATTTTTTCCCTGGATTTCAACCCCAGGCCAAATGCTTTCGTCTAACTGCCCTTTAATTCTTTTTTCCTTTTTTTTTTTTTTTTACTTTACATACTCTCTTTCATAATAAACGAAAGGTTAATTGTATTCACCTCGTATCGATTTTATAATACATTTCTTACATGTATTTTATTATTCATATACCATTTCACGTTTCGAAAAAAATTAATTAGAATTCGAGGATATTTAAAATTAGACGAATTTTCAACGACTCTTGTTTGATTGAAATCCCATTGAAAGGAAGAAATTCGAAAATAATTCGACGATTGATTTGATCGATTAAACGAATTATTATCTTTAGAAAACAAGAAAGAATCCAGCTACTCACAACAGAACTGAAAAAGACCTTAGCATGTATCTACTTAGCTGTCGTTATCATAATCTTTGTCAAGTTAAGGTTTGCCTCAAAGTCAACTCCAAGAAGACTTGGATGGAAATTGAAAAACGAGGGCAATTGATACAATGGAAAATAAATCATTGGTATATATATATATATATATCGATCGAAAATCGATTAATGCAGCATTAAAATATATAAGCTAGTTTATCTACTTAAATAACCAACATCGGTTCCAATTAATCATCAAGCTCGTTTAAAATATGCGCATCCAGAGTGTACTTATGATTATATGACGTAGGCACATATTGGTACATCGTGGTAAGCAAAGAGAAATAATTCTTCAGAATTTTTTTTTTAATAAGCAGCTGTATTTTTTTGAAAAAATCGACTGTGAAGTTTCAAGTGCATGTATGTGAAAATAAACGTGAAAACCAACGGGAGAGTCGATTAAACATATTTCTTCGCTACCTCGTTCGAAATATAAATATCTAAATGATACGAATTTACTTAATACTCCATTAACATAATATTTTAACATGCGTTCTTTCGATTCGAAATTTAAAAAAAATTCAGAATCGATCTTCTTTCACATTCCAAAATGTTAACCCTTTTGACGACAGTTTTGAAAGAATGTAAAATTTCATAATTCGATTTTCAACTTCAAAAACGCTTTATACCCTTCACGCCTTTTCAAACGCGAATAAAAGCTGTCTCGAATTCGTGCGAATCGGACAAATTTTCCCATTTTAAATTTTCGTGGAGTAAACGCGTTCCAAGAATCTACGAATTATTCGTAAATTCGAGCGAGTGGTCACTTCGAAAGTAGCTAACGAACTTACAGCTTCATCCGATTCAACGTCAACTTGCTTAATTAGGATCCCTATAATCAACTCGAAATCTCTTTCGAAAGATTGCCCTTCTCCTCTCTCTCTCTCTCTCTTCCACCCATAAGCGTTACACCTTTATTTCGAAAGGCTAATTTACCGCGGTGTCATTTATCAGCCTCTTGTTCTACCATCCCGTTATTATTAAGGCTGGCCATACCGATACGTTGAAACTTTGTAATTTAAACGAATACCGTTGCCTATATAACGCCCTATTAATTCATTTTACGCGACTCGTGATTCATCGTTATTGCTCCGTTAGAGTTGGTGAATCTGAAATTTTCGGCCGACAGGGGGTGAGACTTGAATGATTTTCTGAAATATGTTGCGTTAGATACGATTGGAGGGGGGGATGAAACTTGGAAATATGGCAATTATGGAAAGAATTTATCTCTATACGCGTGAAAGTATGAATCTTGGTTTTTAGATTTATAGAGTATAATATGTTTGGAGCAATTTCTCTTTCTTTCAAATCCAATGTTATTTCAATTTTTTCATATACACAATTTTGTCTGGAAATACTCTTTAGAATAGCATAATGGAACGTTGAAAATGAATATCTTTATTTAAAGTTTTAACTAGAAATGAGAGAGGCAAACTTTGAAACTTTAAGAATTCATTGCTTATTTTGTCAGAGCGATAAACGAAGATTCTCATATATAATCTTGATATTTGTATTTCATAATAGTACTATTAAAATATATATATATGTGTGTGTTATTTATAACTAATGTTTAAATTATCAAAACAATGTATTATGTGAAATTGTAATACAAGAAAATATAAATTATATATGGAGTAATTTTTTAGAATAGAATATTACTTTGAAATTATGAAAACAAATTTTAAAGTTTTTAATATCTTTTCTTTCTTTTTTTTCAATGTCACATTGTAACAATACAAAAGAATTTTAAATTATAAAATTTTCAGCTTTTGCTTTGTAATCCTCATTGTAAAAAATATTCCCAGACGAAATTTTATTCATTAAATTATAACATGAAAATTTTGATGGTTGGTTTCACGCAAAGAGATTTTCCGTCATAAAAGAAATTGCTGCACGTGTAATTGCTATTATTCTCTACGTGTACAAACTTCTATTAAAATCAGAATTTTCGGATCGGATGATTTCCCTTGAAATATACAACGTATCTCAAAAATATGAGAATACAATTTAACTGGAGCTTCGTAATTTCAAGCAACTTATTTCAAAAATTTTCGTTTCAATTTTGTTTTGAATGAATAAATTTACTTATATTAATAACAATTAATAATAACTTGTTCGTTATTTATCATTATTCGTGAATAATATAATTTTACTTTATAAATATTCAATATATTCGATATATATGTCTGGACTTGTTTGTTCGAGTCAGCGGCACATACCCAACACTATCATCGCGGCTCGACACGCTCCGTGATTGGTCAATTGGTTTTTTCGTTGATAACTCGTAAACGATAAGCCGAAACGAAAATTTTTGCAAACGAAGAAATTGCTTAAAATTCCTTCAAGAATCTTCTGTTTCCATTTATTTCTATAAAAACATCCTGTACAAAGATTTTTATGACCGATTCTACATGGATGATATCGAAATATATGCTGTAACGTTCTGTATAGTGATAATAAGAGAGAGACTGCTTACCAAACGAAATCGAAAACAATTACGACGATATAATAAATAACAATTAATAATAACTTGTTCGTTATTTATCATTATTCGTGAATAATATAATTTTACTTTATAAATATTCAATATATTCGATATATATGTCTGGACTTGTTTGTTCGAGTCAGCGGCACATACCCAACACTATCATCGCGGCTCGACACGCTCCGTGATTGGTCAATTGGTTTTTTCGTTGATAACTCGTAAACGATAAGCCGAAACGAAAATTTTTGCAAACGAAGAAATTGCTTAAAATTCCTTCAAGAATCTTCTGTTTCCATTTATTTCTATAAAAACATCCTGTACAAAGATTTTTATGACCGATTCTACATGGATGATATCGAAATATATGCTGTAACGTTCTGTATAGTGATAATAAGAGAGAGACTGCTTACCAAACGAAATCGAAAACAATTACGACGATATAATAAAAAAAAAAAAAAAAAAAAAATCCCAACTCTTATTAAATGGACAATTATTAACCATTTTATAACTCATTCTCATTATAATAGCAATTCAGGGATAAAAGTCGATCAATTTTTGTACAATCGTCGTCTCGATTCCTTTCGATCATCTAGTCAACGACGTTATAAGTACACTTGTAAGACAACCGTTGAAGAGACCCTTTCTATTATTTCAGAAAATATCAACGATTACATTCGATCGTTTTATTTTACAGAAACTCGATGTACCTCGTTCCCATCGAACTCTCGTTGAGTTCAGTTCGACCAATTGCTTACCAATTCCATTCATTTTCCGATCGCAGTTTCATCCCTTCCAATACGCCTATATACGTTGTGTTCGATAACGCGAGACTTTTCGAAAATTTACCGGGCAAGCGATTTAATAAAATTATTATTATTTATTTAGTTGTAAATGAAATTATTCGAGAAATGGTTTACTTTCGAAACGACACAAATATTCCATACGAAAAGTAAATAACCAAGTTATTTACTGTTTGCAATTAAATGATTTGTTTAATATTTCGCGAAGCAATATTATCTGCTAATGCTATTTGTTGTTCGATTTCAAATGAAAATTCAACAAATTTCCTTGATATGCAACGTTAAATGTTAAATATTATTATCGCTTAATACACGCTATTATATCCTCGAAAAAGAAGTATCTTCAATTACGAGCAAGGAAAGAACATAACCTCAAAATATATATCACTCGACAAAGGTAATACCGAATAATTAACTGTTCCAACTAATTATTAATATATCGATTACCATATCGAATTAAATTTCGTAGTATCGAGAAACTAAACTTCAGCATCGAAAGGAAAAACACGAGAAGAACACGAGAATTTTATAATTGCCCCTTTTTTTTTATTACCGACCGAGTTTTTCGCGCGGGTAACAAGGTATCGATCGTGGTGGGGCGAAATAATAAGAATTTAAGGAAATAATTTAACAGAACTCACCGTTCGCCTAAGGACAGTTCTAATGGTCTCGACTTCTTGCCTCGTTGGCCAACGGGCGTAGACCACTCCGCTTAGCAGGAGGATAAAAACTGTGATCCAGATCGTCCATGCCAGGACGTTCTTCGTTCTCGCAAGAAGCTTCTGGGCGGTCCGCGTCGAGATCACTTCTTGCGGGGGGATCTCGAGCTTCTGCGCTTTCCTCAGAATATCCTGGAGTCGCCTCTTGGCCTGCTCCACATCGGGCACCCCCATTTCCTTTATTTTTATCGCGCCTCGAGCTAACACCTCGCGGGATCGGTATCCTCGTCGATGGTTCAGGATCGAGATGTTAAGAGATGAAGGCTTGTAAACGCGTCTCGTGCAGGGACATCCTCGCAAAGCGTCGATCCCCTGGAAAATTTCCCCTCGTTTTCACTTCCTATCCAATTATCCATTCGTTCTTGGCCAGCTTCGAATCGAATTTTCTTTACTCGACTCGAAATTGGCTTGGAAATCTCTATCTCTGTGTGTTTACATGTGATGTGCGTATCGAAAGGAACGAGGAAAATTCTCTTTAACGTTGCAAGCTGCTTGAACATCGCTCATTGAGTTTAAAAAATTTTTGCCTCTTTTTTTCGAATAATCAATCGACACGAATTATTTTGGAATGGAATGATATAAGTCGTTATAAATACGTTCAAATAATATGATCATTGAATCTCTAATTAAGTATATTTGTCCCGTTTCAGATTAAAATTTTTGTAAAAATTCTAGTAAATATATATCTCTAAAATCAATAACACATATCACATCGTTTATATATGTACCAATGAATTTTTGAACAATAACATTTACGATTAATTCACGATGTTTAAGATCAATATTCGACTGTTCAATCAAACGAGCGATATTTTTACGAATAAAAATTCCACCACCGTTGGAACGAAAAAAATTAAATTTAGACGAGAGGAACGAGAGCGTTTTTAATCGTGGAAATTCGCACTTGCGATCCTCGCATCATCACCTCCCCCCTCTAATCGATTTCGAAATTATCCTCAGCGCACCGCGATAATTACCTAATAATTTCCAGGATCGATCCGCCGATAGCACAACGATGCAAGGGTGGAGGGGGTGGAGCAAAAGTTCGACCCAGTTTTCAATAGTACGATAGAGCGAGGATCACAAAAGGTTGGGCCGCGCAAAACAGACACGGTAACGTTTCGCGCCGACTAATTATCCTCCCCCTCTCCCCTCGGTGAATTCGGCAGCACCGATTTTTAATTATCGGCGTATCGATGGAGGATTCGACGGCGCGTTCGTTTTCCAGCGAACTCGAGCGACCCAATTTTCCGCAACGGTGCAATTCGTTTCTCGAAGGGCGAGTTTTATATCATCGGGGAGGCCCTTTTTTTTTCGTTGAAATTGTTTCGTTCGCGCCGCCGAGGTTGCCTCGTTCGAGGGATCTTAATTTACCTCCTTCTGGGATCGAGTTAATCGCGGGAGGAAAAGAGAGGAGCGAGAGAGGTGGCAACTCGTTAAAGCTTCGAATGTAGTGTGTGTAGTTGGTTGGGCGAAATTTTTCGGTGGCGTTAAGAGGGGATGATTCTATCGTTTTCTCTTTTGTTTCTCATTTCGAAGAGAGAGCTGGACAAATGGAGAGGATGAAACGAATAAGGGTTCAGGTTTTTAGATTTCACGAAACTTTAAAGAATTTTTTACTTTTTCTAAATTAAATTGGAATTGGAGAAGTGGAGTATTGTAAAGTATTGATAAAGTTTTGAATACGCGTTGATATATGATTGTAAATTCTGTCAAACTTTTTAAACGATAGACATCCATGTTATGAATCAATTAATAAATTTTGAAATATACAAAATTATGATTATTTCGTTTAATTCATTGAAAATCACACGATGAAATAAATTCCACTGAAATATGTACATACTTAAAAACTTTCCTGACACGATACATTTCTAAATAAATCTAAATTTTTCATACATATCGTTTTTTTTCGATAATCGAACCAAGTATAAAACGCTTCGTGGTTTATTACGTTAATCGTCATTAATTAAATCACAATAAACGTTAACACGAATCGTCTTAAAATCACGAGCATTACATTTGATACTCCACTCGCTCTACTTTTCGCCCCGATTTCGTTACTTTTAATTCAAGAACACTCGCGAGCAATAATTAATTTTCCCCAATAACTCGCTTAACGTTGCACGTACGTTTGAAATTTCCTCGCTTTAGGAAACTTTAACCGCCCTTCCCTGAATCATATTCGAACATCGAAAGGAAAAGGGAGGAGGAGAGAAGAAGAAGAAAAAAAAAAAAAAAAAGAATCTTTTGTGAATCTTTCGCGAAAGTTCCGACTAAGTTTCCAACGAGGAACGCTAAGGGAGAAGAGCAGTTTATCTTTCCGGAAGAACTTTTCTCTTGTATGCTGAGGAAATACCCTTTCGATCAAACCGCGCCAACGAACCGCAACATCGTGAGACCGACCTTCTCAATCTTCCAACTCTCTCTCTCTCTCTCTCCCATGCATTGAGTCTCACGCTCAAAATTAATATCGATTTTAAAAGGCGATACGGCACGAGATATAAAAAGAATTTTGTTATAAATTGTTTCTTTTCAAAGCGTAATAGAATTTCTCACGGATCAAAATAGATCTCTTCCAATGTTTCACTTGATTTTTCTCAGTTTTATTAATTGTAACGAAAAATTGTTTTGGATGAAAGTCGAGAGAAGTATATTAATTATTAATTCTATGGTGAGTGGACACTTAAAAATCGGATGAACTTTTTTTAATGGAATTGTATATTTTTTTATCACATCAATATATTTATACAGCTCGATATTTTCTATTTCAAATTGAAATTTTTAATATGAGAAACATGAATATAGAAAATAATATTGTTTTCACGTTCTTCCTTGTCTTTCGTGCAATAAGTTTTATAAAATTCAAATTGAGATATCTGCTGAACTGATAAGTTTTAAACATATATGGTTAGTTAATACTTTTATAAAGAATGTCAAGTTGATCTATTAAAAAATATATAATTCCATTTAAAAAAGAAGAAAGTTGATCTTTATTATCCTCTCATGAAAGAATTAATAATATAAAAATATGCTCTCCTTCATTCAATTTTTATCTGAAATATTCTTTTCGCTGCAAATATAATAATACCGAGATACTTTGCATATTAAAAAGCTTCAACTTATAAATACACTTGTATAAGTCGATTTTGAAATTGCTTTTACCATAATTTTATAATCTGCTGATTATTTTCTCTTAACTATTCCAAAACATTTCTATTATGTATTATTCCATTTATTCCAAATTTATGATATGATAATCACTTTTAATTTGTGAAATTTCAAATATTTCCGATCTCATTAGTATAGAATTTTTGCTCATGATATACTCATATCAAATAATTGAATTGCCAAATTTTACACAATATTATCAAACAAAGATTGAATCCATGTGAAAAAGTGAATCGAAAATGATACGAAACGATGTTTTTTTTCGTAAAAAGCTTCATTTCCAAATAAATCGATATCGAAAATTCATGAATGCGTACTCTTGGCTGCATTATGAGCCCAGTTTCATTGCATTTGTATTCATGAACATTATCATTGCCATGGCTCATTATTATTTCCGAGTCAGACTCTCAGTCTTCGTTGTTCTGTCAATATGACGATATACAGTAACCTGAGAGTACATTGATATTCCCTATTTGATCCATATGCTAGCAGTGCACATATGGCTACTAATTACTATAGAGGATCAAGCTGTCGATTAGCTTCCTCTTCTCATGGATACTAGTGAGCTTGAAATATGTTAAAGAGCTTGATTTTAAGCAATTTTTTCAAACCAACGATTGATTTTAGCTTTAGATTGATTCGTTAAAATATTTTTTATTGTTTGAAATCAATTATATCATTGAATTTCGCTTATACATATCCTAACACTATATGCATCAATATGCATATGTGTTACTTATCAACTGTTTATATGCAAGAAAACTAAATTTTCAAAAAATATTCATTGAGTAAATGAATTTCATGTTTTACATACAATTTTAATTTTTTGAAGAACAAAAACTTGAATAAAAAAATTATTATAACTATATTGTATTCTATACTTATTATTTATTTCATATTAATCATATCTTTCTGCATTTGAGAAATTTTTAAATCCGATTTTCTCAAAAAACGAAACTTCAAACAAAGAAATTTTAGTCTTCTTCTTTTTAATTTATTTTTTGATTACATGTAACTTTTACGTAACTCATATATAGTGTAATGTAATGTAATATAATGTATATATAAATAAATACAACAATATAAACAACACAATAATATTTGTTACATATGTATAAGTGAGATCATATTATAAGTTACACGTAATCAATGAATATTTAATATTGATTTATTTGGAAATAAAGTTTCTTAAAAATATCATTTTCGACTTACTTTTTCGTAAATTTATCACATTTTTCGGCTTATTCCCTTTCGAGATATCATTATTTCACTTTTTTATATCGAATATAAGCAAGAAATTTTATGCACAAATAATATAATTGTTGGTATAATTCTGATTCATAGTTATTTAAAAAAAATGAAATTTTACTAAAATTATATTGTATTAAATATGATAAAGAAAAATTTGATTTAATATTTGCTCATTAAATAAAAACTAAAAAAATTGAAAATCAAAAAAATGATTCAACATACCGAAGACATAACTGCCAATTCATGTACAGTAGCATCTTGATTGACTGGTTTACACGGAGAACAAACAGAAATCCATCAAAATAATGAAAGTTCAAGAAACAACTGAAAATTTATACAAATAATATAAAATTACATTTTCTTCTACGATTAAATTTAATATACATCAGCTAACGACTATTTAACAATTACCAACCTCAAAAATTGGCGAATATTGACGAATGGAAAGAATTCTAATGAATTGTAGAAATAGAAATGCAATTTATTGTAGAAAAACGTAAACTTGATGTTAATAAACAAAAGATACACATAATTCTTGATAACGAGGGAAAAAAAGAAAAATAATCACAGAAACAAAAGAGAAGAACACGAACTTGATATCACAAAATGGAAGACACTGGACTGAATCGAACGAATGATCGAAACTTCAAATAATCGCGATAATTAATCGAATCGAATCAAATTGATAGATTTATTATTATGGGAATATATATTTAATAAATTGTATATTTGTCTTAATTTATATTTATTTATTGCACTTAACACTTTAAATTTTACTAACAAGTTTTACTTTAATATCACAATATTGAATCCTATAAATAATATATCGTTTCTCTAACCTCGCACGCACTTGTCGATCATCCTCCATGACACTCGTCTACTTTCATATCTATCTATATCTCACTCATCATACGTTCCTATGATCATGCACAGTCTCATTCATTCTATATCACTTACAATTATATTAATAATCTTCAAAGAATGTATTTGAAGGAAAAGTGCATTTAAAATTAGATTTACACGATCTATTAAAATATTCTATTTATAGAATATATTTTCATATATTTTTCATAAAATACAAATGTTGTGATATTTGGATATTTCATTTTTTTTATTTTTCAAGTAAAATTAAAAAGCTCATATTCAAACTTAATAGAAATATATTTATGACAAACAAACGAAGAAAATGATAAAACTTCAGATTAACTCAAATCTCGAAATCTTAAAATCTTATAATTAATAATATTAATTATAATTTCATTAATTAATTTTCGTAGTTATCTAATGTCTAAATCTAAAAATTTTACACAATCTTATCCATCGTGTAATTTAAATAGATCGATTTTTTAAATCTAACAAAAATATATCTTTCCTTAATTTATCGTTGAAACATTTTCTATGCTGTGAAAGCGTTTCTACTTCAGCAATTCGTCGAGTTTTCAATGGTCGGCGAAATAAATTGCAGGATCTTAATAGAACACAGGTAAAAAGCTTGCTCGTTAGATTCGAGTCCTCCCTTTAATCGAACTTGAATTAATTTTCAACCACAAAGATTCTTCTGCTCGATTTTACTCATTCACCACTCGTCATGCTTCGTGCAAACTATACATCCAGTTGAATCGAATCTGCTTTAATCTACTTGATCAATCCCGGAGCATTAATGCGCAATTCGACATTGTTTTCACGCTATTCATAAATAGATGGCGAGAGAGGAGAAAGAATGGAAACGAATTTTAACATCAAAATAAATCGTGATCGAAAATTAAGAATGTGGCAGACATATAACTTTGAAATCTTTCGAAATTTAAAAAGTTTTTAACATTTGAATCTCGAAACGCTTTAATATTTATGTAATTCGAAATCACAGATAAAAAAACTTAAAGAATATAATTTATTATTATTCAAATAACAGTGATTAATTCAATTGAATTTGTATTTAAATTTTTGACTTATTTTAATTAATACGATAATACGTAGACAAACTGTAACACAAAATTTATTGGAAATATTGTAATCGTTTAAATTGTTAAAAACTTAAATATAAATTGTTCAAAATTGTAAAGTTTTTATCGTATAAAGAACAGAAACACATAGAAACACATAAAATCAATGCGATATAAAGCAAATATAAAGAAAAATAATTTAAGCTTTTGTATTTTATTATTAAAGGAAACAGCAAATGAAAAACTAAAATTCTAGATAAAAAAATAATTGCATAAAATATTTCCTATTTAATATTTTATAATATCTCTATGTATTATTGCTTTTACAGATTCAAGTACCACTATATATTTTAATGAATTTCACATGTATACTGTTACTTTTTGCCAAAAACTTAGATAAAAAAAACGACCACTGTTACTATTAATTATAAATATGAGTAAAATATCAAGAAAACAATAATTATCGAGATGTCAAAAAATTTCGAGTTAAAGAAAATCCATACGTATCGAAAATGACAAACGTTTCGCGGAAAGTGTACACTAAACACGACAAGAATTTCCTACTCGAATAACTCACGATCGAAAAAACGATTGATACGCGATTTCGAGGACAACGTATCTCGTGTATGTATACAGCACACACGAGCACGTTACGATTAATCGTCTATTTACAACCGAATAGCGAATAACATTTTGAGTAATCCCAGCTCAGTTCCCTCCAAGCCCAAAGTTATATTGTGCCGCATGAAATGCGCGACCTGAACACACCTTCGACATTTTCGTGCTACGTTTCACTTCATAGCTCGATATTTCATCTTGATGCTCGCGAAGTTTCATCTAGTTTCGATGATAATATTAAACATATAACGTTAATACGAAATTAGAATTCGGATGAATGTTGAACGAGAAAGAGGAGGAACGTGAAATGTTGTTGAATATTTTATATAATTGTTATATTGAGTATATTATATAGTTGGTCACAGAGGTGACTAAAATCCAACTATATTAACTTGATGCATTTTATTCAAAATTACACATCAGAAAGGAGGAGAGCAATTTAAATTTTAATATTGATAAATATTTGCTTCTTATTAATGATGTTTCTATGATGCTTGGAAATAAAATATGTAAATTTAAGAGGAAACAATTTTACATTAAAAAATTGATGAAATGAAATACGTAGATGTACTACAAGCAGGGATATTAAATTTTTCACACAAGTAACAAATTGTCCATAACTATCGATCAAAACTATGGAAACTAACAAATCAGGAGGAGTCATCGTTGGTTACGTTTTTTATGCGATTTACCTCTCGTATCGTGGCTCACGACTCGTGGACACAGGCTGATCGTCCTTGTGGGATGGAGAGGGGCACGTTTTGATAGATAGCGAAACCCCCCAAGGGACCGTAAGCGTGATTTCCACCAAAGCTGTTCCACCAGATTCAGATAGAAAAACGTCGTTTGTCCAAGAAGCCGTGTAAAATTCCAACGGGGATCGTTGAATCGTTCATCATCCTCGTCAAAACCAAAAGAGAGAAAAGAAAAGACCAGAATCCGAATCTTCTCGTACCGACACTTTCGCCTACCTTTTCAACTTGATTGGATTGGCGCGAAACACAACGGATAAACTGCACTTCACCAAAAATAAAAAAAAAAAGAAGCAATCACGCTCTATTTAACCCCGTTAAAGAGAGCCGGTTTTCTCTCACGTACGGATCGTTTATCTCTCCGTGGAGATCGTGGGAAACAAGGTCACGGAGGGATGGCCGCCGATCGATCGTCACCCGAGCGAAAACGGGCAAGAACTGACTGGCCTCGCCGAGGGTACCTACCCTTATAGATATAAGACGGATGGGTGGCGCGTGCGCAGTGGGTGGCCGCGCATGCACGGTCGTTCCACTGCGCTTCCACGCTGCGGGCAGGCTTGTGCAGGGCTCCGACGGAGGAACAGCGTTAAAGATCGAAACAGATTGGCCGATCGGAAGGAAGAAGAAGCGACGAGGATGGAAAATCGGTCGTTCGGTCAGAAAGCGACAGTGGTAAGGTGTATGTATGCACCTGTGTAACACCCCGGGAGAATGAAACCCGTTTCATTCTCAACCGTTTTTTTCCTTCGTTATCGCCGCGTGAAAAAAAAAGGAAAAAGAGTAATTTACAGGCGGTCGTTCGCGATTTCGATCCTGCCCCCCTCGGTTTAATGCGTAGTCACGTCCACCGCTTTGTTAGTCGATGTTTATCTATCGGAATTTTTACATCGTCACGCGCCATGATAATATTACGCATATTACGAAATATGAGATGGTGAAATTGCCCGCCAGAATGGGGCGAAAATGTAGACCAGCAATTTTTTTCTTTCTTCTCCTTTTTTTCAGGGAGGGGTCTTTTAATAGGGGACAAAAATTGGATTCTATCGATGATTGAAAATTAGGATAATTGTGTTGAATAATTATGAATAAATATTCATCTATTTATTTATCTAATTTTCACATTATTGACGAAACGAAGAAAAGTTTTCCAAAAGATTGTAATTTTTCTATTTCATTGGTGTTATATTTTAAATTCGAATCAATAACGACAGAAAAATATTTCTTAACGAGACAACGTTCTTACAGATATAATATTCTAATCGTTATGATAATGATCAACGTTAAATTTTAATCCCTGTAATCTATGTAGTTTCAAGGAAGAAAACTTTATGATCAGGAAGAGGTAAAAATTAATTATATTGTTAAAATTAAAGAACAAATAATATTGGCTTGATCAGAATTAAGAAGAAGTTGCAAATAATTAATAGTATTCTTGTAATTACAAATAATCAAAAAAAAAAAAGAAAAAACAATAAATAATTGACAAATTACTGAATGAAAAGATATTAAAATATTGAATTTATATTTTTTTCAAACTATATGTTGATTTTTAATTATGACAAGATAAACAATTTCAAATGTTTTATTCCTTATAAATCCTGTTCTTATTTGATTTTAATTAATATAAATTGTTAAGTAATTGTAGCTGTATTTGTAAGGCAAAAAAAAATCTATATTTCCAATTGCTTATATTTCATTCGATATGTATGAATTTATTAAGAAAATATGTATGTAACTATTCTAAGAATGAAACTTTGTTATTATAAATGAAATAAATACGTGTTAGAAAACAATATCCAATCGAATATTGATCGAATTTGAGAATTGTATCGTTTAAAAATGAATGAACGAATAATATATTAATACACGTAAATTCTCAGCACTCGTTTCTAGAGATATAAAAAACATTTAGTGCATAGATAATGGCATAAAATATTCCACAATAATTATATAAGATTTAAATGATTTAAAGACTAAATTTACATGGATACATTATTGATAAATTGATTTGTTTCTGCACTGATAAAATATCTCTTATTTCCCCATCAATTTAATATAATGGTATTCAAAATAAAATTATCTATAATACAATATATATTGAAATATGTAAATATATTATACAGAAATGAATAAAATTGAAATAATTATTATATTAAAATATAATAATAAATCAATGTTAATTTCTTTTTTAATAAATGCGAACAAAATCCGGAATTAATTCATAGTTTAATAGTGTTTGAGTTATTAAAATCTAAGTTATATTAATAAATTTCTCGAGGCCAAACAAATTACATTATAAATTATTATGTATAAAATATTTAATATACCGAAATATCGTTATAAAATTATTAATAAATTAATAATAAAGCAACTCGTGTTTAAAAGTTCGTTTAAGAAAAAAATAAAAGAAAGAATCGAAATATCAAAATTATTGCAACACTTAAAAGATTCATTTGCCAAAAACCAAACCAAATCTTTTTTGTATGTTTGCAATGCGAAAAAAAATGACCGCCATTTAAAAGAAAGACTCTTTCAATTTTTTGTCCTATCGACGTAAAAATCACGAATTATAAATTCATATTTTATTCGTAAAAAGAATTAACGAATAATTTTTTCTCACCGACCAATAATCTTGATTGATCTCTTTCTCACCTCCCCTTTCCCCAT